ACTGAACTCGCGTCAAGTTAGAGTAACGCGTCGGTTCGTTTAGAACTGTTCCACCGAATCATCGCTCGAAGTGGATCGGCCTTAGCGCCTTGGGCGATCCGGTCAGTAAACACGGATCTGAACTCGTTGCACGTCATTAAATTGACCAGTTGTCTTACGGACAAGAGAACGGCGAACCTTAGCTGCTTGCAGCACGCTCCCCTGTCAAAGTTTAAGACCATATGGAAGACGATAGCCATCGACGATCTGAACTTGGTGCTCTTGAAGGGCGAACACGAACCCATGGTAATGCACATAACCCTGCACATAACCTGCAGCTCTTGTCTTTCGCGCTTGTATCGGTTTTGTTCAGAACAACAACCACCCTTTCATGGCTCACACTTACTTTACACCTGTGGTCGACAGCTACAGGGGAAGTGATAGCATTATTCCGACGCATTCCAAGGAGCTGATGAAACGAAACGCCAGGCTGCCAATTATGACCGGAATAACTACCGGAGAGTGCATTGCGTATGTATCGTGGCTGGCCTACCTCGGTAAAATGCTTTATCTTATTGAAAGCGCGCACCCCTAAATTCACTACTGTGATGTTGTTGCAAACGCTCTGTTGGTGTTTAGTATGTTATTTTTAGGTTCTATTTCTGCATGGTTCCCACTATGTAGGTACACAAGTATATGTTTTTTTGGCGCGTGCTTCTAAATATGTTATATAAAACTCATTTGTTCGATGATCGCAAATAGCTGCCTGTGTTTAAGAGTCTTTCCGAGCCATAGATGGAGATCTGCAGTAAGAATTTGTTCAACAGTTTTACACAACTCCACGGAACAATCGAGATTATTCGCAACAATAAACGAACATGGAAGACTAGCAACGTCACAACGACCGCCATTTATATAGCTTGCTTGGTGATTTTCAATGAGGAAATGCAAACCTCAAAGATGAGGACCGTGGCGGATGTCCTCCCGTCTGTGATGACGACCGTCTGAAAGCCTCAGGTGAAACAGACTCGTGAAAAATGGAGGATAGTTTGGGCAAGAGTTTGACACTAATTGCAACTATATTCTGGCACCCTCACAAAGCTGAAAATGCTTGCAAGTTGGTTTTTCCTCAACTGAAGGAAAAACAGCAAAATCGTTTCCTGCAGCTCTGCTCTTCGCTGATCATAAGTTACAAGAACGATCCATTCCTTTATCGAATCAGTACGTGGGACGCAGAATGGAATCTATATGACAACTGCAGACGATCAGCAGATTGGTCTACAGTGGTGAAGCGTAAAAATATAAGCAATGCCCCATTCTTCATTTGTATTTCTGGTAGGTTGCAACAATCGTCATTCACCAGAACTTGAAAGAACTTGGCAAATACATCTGGTCAAAAAGGTACTGTGGTGAACTAGACATTGTTCACCGGAAACTGTTTCAACAACACGCGATATATTTGGCTCGACGAAACCCTATCCTAAATAACGTTAATGCTGATTGTCGTATTTCACAAACCCTTCTCCGGGAACTGTATTACTTGGGATATGGAGCTTTTTGTCATCGGCCATATTCACTGCACTTTTCTCAACATACTGTAACGTTTTCAAACTAAAGTGACTGATTCGAGTAATTGAAATCTCGTTCTAGCATTGGGTTGACTCAAAATCTATATTTTTCAATCATCTTTTGGAATTTCGTTGTCATAAATTTGCTGCCTGTAACTGAACTAATCTTGATGAACAAACTATATTTCAGGCAACGACGTTACTATTTACTGCTTGAATCTGATACATTAGAATGGACGCTAACGAGCCTGTTTTCGTACTGTTCTAAAAAATTGAAAGTTCCGGGCGAATGCACTACTGTATTGCTGATTCTATTATGCTAAAAAGAAAACAAGAAAGATTTTAAGGACTACAAGTTGATCAGTTTACTAACGATTATCAAGGAGATCCTCACGAAGGTATTTACGAACAGATTTCAAGAAAAACTGAGCTCTGCAAGACAAAGAAACAAGCACGATTATGAAATAGATTTAGCACGGCCGATCATTAACAGTTGGTACAGCAAGTCACTGAGACAAACCACGATTACCAACTTCGTCTCTGTTTGGGATTTGTCAGTTTCGAGAAAGCTTTCAACTCGGTTTCCGTTTCATACGTATTAGGTCACCTGACAGCAAAGGAGTCTGAAAAGATCACAAAGCCCTCATAGTCATGATTTACAGGAGTGTACAAATGCCCAGTAGGGCGATGCAATCAACGAGTTATTCACAGCAGCCCACGAAAAGGGTGACGAGATACTCCATCAGGAAAATCAATGGTTGCTGATAAAATTGCATTAGACATTCAACCTGCAGTTTGCCGATGATACTCTGATCACTTCAAGGTTATCAAAAGAACTCCAGAGAACAATCGCATAATTGAATGATGCCGACGTTGCAGCAGCAGGAGTGAAAATAAGTTTAAAGCAACTCAGGTCATTTTTTATCAAGCACGACACCCTACGACGCGTTGAAATCAATTGATTTAGGCTTCACGAGGTGCGAAACTATGCCTACCTGTTATAGCTGATGTCTTGGTCATCTGCAAAATCAAAAGAAGGTTAAACTTTGCATGGAGCAATTTTCAAGATTGAAAATGATAATCTGGAAAACAGCCCTTTTGCTGAAAGAGAAAGTTCTCGACCAGTACCTGCTCCCGTGATAACGAAGAGACCTTAAGCATGAAAGCTATTCATGAACTACCAATAATTCAGCGTAGTTTCAAAAGGCACTTGTTAGAAACTGACAAGAAAGAATAAAAGAACGAACTGATGGATAAAAGCGAAAACGGGGTCTGCAATGATATTACAAGAGCAAAGTAGTTGAAACGGAAAAGTGTAGGTTACTCTGAAAGAAGAACTCAAATCTTTAGACCAATCCGCCATTAGACTGGTTTCCAAGAGACAGTAAATCATCAATTGGAAGACCTCCAGATCGATTGACGGATGTGTTAAAGAAATTTGTTTGATTAACATGGATAAGAATCACAGAGGATTGAACTTTTAGCTAAATCTTGTAAAGGTGTTCATTCGGCAGTTAATAAACAAAGTCTGATGATAACGATTCTTAGCAGAAATATGAGATAATGTAAGTTCATGATATAGCGATTTAAAAACCAACAGAACTTTAGTAACAGCATAATAGTTATGTATTATTATAAAAGGTAGAGGAGTAGGCCATCGAAATCAAGGGTGGGTTATTCTGAGTAAAGGTTGGTAGACAAGGCAGCGGTGAGCAGTTTTTGCGGAATTCATTACGGCCTGCCAGATGTTTTTGCTTTAACGGGTTTCATCTTCGCTTACTCTTAATAAAATGATCCAATGGGCCATTGCGCACAACAGATACTTACTGAACATTACTACCATGGGTATAGTCAGTGGCGGGACTTTGGATTCGGTGCTTTGCTGTTTTCACAGGTTTCAAGGCCTTTATGAATTGGATGAGTGGATTTATTGTGGCAGCTCATCTCTGAAGACCTATAGAACGGCAGAAAAATGTGGAGGAGGCTGACTCAATTAGCGGACCCCTGTTAAACGGAATATGCTAGAGAAAAGAAGAATAAAACAGAGGCGACTCTCGTATTACCATTTGCATGCATCGATAATGGCAGTCATATAAAAGGGAAACTTATTACCGCCTGGATGACAATTTCTCTTACCCCATATCATTTCTACAATTTACAAAACACCCTGCTGGTGAAAAGCAAGAGAGCCATCTAATTGCATTTCAGAGTGGTTCTCTGCGCAAGCTATGGAGCGCATTGGAGAAATAAACCTTAGGAGCTATTTTAAAAGATGCCACGTCAAATAAGTGTAGCAAAACCTGCGCCTGGTATTGTAGTAATTTTATGTAATCGTCTTTGACAACGTCTCTAATTAACCGCGATTGTTTAGAGAAAAAGGAACGACTCAACTTAAGTAACATTGAATTTGTCGTACCTTCAAAGCAGTACGCAAACTCGGAACAGGTAAATATTACTTAGTCAAAATTATATCTCGCATTTTTTATGATGCACTTAGTAGTTTGGACAAAATGAATAGTTGTAGACACCACGAATCAATAGAAAAATTCTTAATTATTAAAAATGTATTCATTTCAAAGATCTACTCATGATGCAATCGAAAAGTGATTACCGCCATCGAGCAATAGCGTTCATAGCCTGTTGTGATCATTTCTATTTGACTGCTTAATGCGATAATTCTCAGATCAAAACGTTCAAAAAAATTTACGTTCTAGCCTATTTTACTGTAACAAGTGTACGTACGCGACTCTCCTATGGGTATTTACACCTTCATAATAGATTACTATTATTG